TATTGGAAACTTTGCAAACATGAAACTTTTCAGCTAATTTAGTCTCTAAATTTACAACATGTGACCGATTAAAGATAAACTACAGAGAAATTATCGGCGGTTTGTGTTCAAGTCYAGACGATGAGTCAGACTTGACTTTATTATAGCCAATATAACTGTCCAAAARGCTTTAATTCTGCACGTTTTTTCTGCAAAATGTGCAGAATGACTTTAATTACACGAAGCTGTTTGTGGGAACTCGGTTTTTTTCAAAAATAAAAATGAGTTTGAGTTTAAGGAAATAAAGATTATGGCCTTTTTTTTATCTGAGGACATTTAAATCTGGCTGGTTTATATTTATGTTCACTCTTTTTAAAGACATTAACGTGAAACTTTATGTTTATCTTTTCAGCAGCGTCTTTAACTTGTTTCAAAGTAAAATAAACTGAAGTGGTTTTTTATAAGAAATTATGAAGAAAACTTCTTTTCTTTTTGCCTTTTAACACTGAGAATATGTTAAAGTGTCCTAATTCAACATAAAATGTAGTGTAGACGTTTATATATAAAGTTTAGTCAGGCTCTGTTAAGTATAACTCATAGAAAGATGGAAAAATGTCTCCCAGATAGAAAAASTGCACTCCAGTATTACGTTTGATCTTTTTGTTTCCAGTTGTCTTCATTAAGTCGTTTAAAAAGATGACTATATCTCCAAATGCTTCAGTTTAACTCACATATAAGTGATGAAACAGGAGGAGTAAATGGAGGCAGAAAGCTGCAGCAGCTGCCTCCTCTCTGCACACCGAGGATTAACACCTTCTGTTTCCTCTCCTGCGCTCAGATCCACCTCACTCCTCCGTCTCCCCTTCTCTCCCCTCATCTCGACTCGGTCTTTACACGCCAGCTGTGGTGAAACCGTTCGGAGCGAGCTCACGGGCCAATCGGCAGCAGGAAACGTTCGGGGCCTAAATACAACGACGGCGGCTCGCAGTGAACTGTTTCTGCCTCCTGTTGGAGTCAGAGGCATCTGGAGAATAAAACCACTGAAACCTAAACAAATCCAACAGATTTTATAAAAAAAACACTTTATAATAACGACACCTTTTTTATCATTATTTACTCATTAATAAATGACTAGTTAGCCTTGAAAACATCAGTAATTAAGGATGATTCATACATAAAAAACTAGAAATTAACACCTTTATTAACACTTTACTTCCAAACCAACATACTCATTATTAATAACTCATGAATATACTGTATACTGTGTATATGTATGCTCAAATAAATGTACTTTCACTCCATGTGTTAAACATGTAATAATAATTAGAGACTGTTTGAAGTAACAACACTTAATAAATCATAAATATGGTAAATATTCAATTCAAACATTCTCTGATCATTAATAAATATCTAACACATGGTGTGAAACTACATTATATGACCACACATATACACATATTATATTGAATAATTGCTTAATACACTATTATGCATTAGTTCATGAGTTATTAAGCATGAAGAAGTATGTTGCTTTTTCAAGTAATAACCCTTTATGAGTAAAGCATTAATAACTATGTTAATTTTTAGCTTATTAAGTATGAATAATCTTTTATTAATGATGTTTTCAAGGTGAATTAACCAGTTATTAATGATTAAGTAGGGCTAAATAAGGTGTAGTTGTTATAAAATGTTACCAAATAACTTTTACATCAAATAAATTGAGAGAAAAATCCAGTTTGTTTTGACGGGCAGCGGAGTTAACACGTGAAGTCAGAACCTGTGTGTGTGTGTGTGTGTGTGTGTGTGTGTGTGTGTGTGTGTGTGT